GCCTTGCTGGACCTCAATTTTAGCCTGTTTTCTCCCATCTAGACCCTCACAACTCAAGTACTGGGATAGGATCTCACTAGCCTCGCCATCATTGACCAAGGTAGAAATGTAAAGCTGAGTATCATCATCATATTTATGAAATGAATAGATAGATGATCTCAAAAAAAATGAATAGATGATCTCAAAGAGCTCAAAAATGACACACACACCCCATCATGACCTCTCATAGAACTGCAGTTTAGAAAGGTTACTGTAGAACCACTGGAACTAATACTATGGGCAGAGTGGATAAAAACCAATTATTAATTTTTAAAAAAAAAAAAATCTGATTTTTAAAATTTAAATCTATTTTTTTTTATTTTTATCAAATTTATTTTAATAAAATGCTTTTGGAATAAACATCTATCTAAAGATAGTTTTTTACCTTTAAAATACATTAATAATTTAGTTTATTCAGCATGAAATGGAGCTTAGTTATGTAGCATGAGGCTGTATATTCTGTAATATTTACATTTTTGGTAAAGTCATTCAATGAATCCAAGCTCTGCAAGCTGAACAGGAAACTAATAATAATGATTCTAACTACAAGCAAAAATGAGTCCTTACATTTAAAGAGCACCTGTAATTTCAGATCCATCATGGCACAGCCTGTTAGCGGGCATCCATTTACCTGCTGCTTGCCAAGTCCCCCACCTTGTTGTATCACTGCTGCATCACCAGCCGTCCCATTAAAGTGAATGGGACTGTCAGTGAGTCAACAGCAAGTCAGAGAAGCCGCTGCAGGACAGAGATGCCACTTGCTCTTTAATTTTTTTTATTTAAATCGAGTTGATTTAAATCAAGCCTTTTTACTAGTGATTTAAATTACGGTTGAAATCATGAATGAAATTGGCTTGATTTAAATCAAATCCACCCTGACTCTGGGTAATGTGTATGGATAGTACTCTTATTTACTCCAGCTTTAACCTTTTCATGTACACGAACAGAAAAGGGATGGAAGCCCTCCTCAGTTCTGCATAAAATGAATGGGATGTTGTGGGGAAAATGCCCACTTCAACAAGGAACCAAACATTGGTAGACAGAGGTAATAAAGTATTTTTCATTGCCACGTACAATTACAGAGATCACTGGGCTCTCAACAAAAGAATGCAAAAGATCTTCAAGCTAAATAAGGTTAGGGATTATATATCAAGCTCCCACAGTGGTACGATTCAAAAATTGTTACTGTTAGGAATATATGTCACCTAACAGGTATTTGGTTTCGAAATATACAAGCCGGGGTAGACATTTTAGTACTATGTCTTTAAGGGATTCCAAAAACTGCAGTTGGGTGTGGTTTTTCAAATGGCCATAAGATGGAGCCAGAAACCTGGGTTGTTCAGCCTTAGTCTCAGAAAAGAGTGTGAGTGTATCTCTGTTTCCTTCTGTTGGAAAGTATTGTCGTTGCTCCATTTCTTCTAATTGACTGATATTACTGGATTTGATGTAAGTCTGATACTGAACTGTTTTTGACACTGGAATTTGTTAATGGATTATCCCTGGATTGAAAAAACTGACCGATTTACCTGTGAATGACTTTTGGACTGCCTGTTTTGAACTTTGCTTAATCCTTTACTGAAAGGAAAACCCTACATTTACTGTACAGTGTATCTGTGTGCTGTATGTGTATTATTCAAACACTACTCTCTATACATCTCCCTGTATGCGCTCATTCTCCTAACGGGGAATTACCTCAACACTGGTTATGGGCCCAGGCCATACCAGGCTCAGATAACTGAGAGTTAGTATGAATGCACAGTACTGTATACAGACAACTCTTTACTGTTTAATTGTGGTTTACTATCCTGGTAAAGATGGCACAAGTCACTTCAACATGTCTATCACTGATAACCCGGTTGGATGGAACAAACTGTTTCCTGGTCTATGAAATGCAGTCTACTGCTGCGTAAAGAAGGTTTATGGAATGTAGTTCAAGACCCACTGGATGTAAATGCTTGGGATCCAGCTAATGAGGATGATGCCAAGAAGCTTGCTGACTTTAAACAGAACAACGAACGAGCTCTTTGTATAATTGGACTAACACTGAGTGACCAGCAGCTAGTCTATATTCGTGGAGAAGAGTCTGCTGCTAGGTGTTGGGAAAATTTGAAGAGGATTTATGTTCGTGACAGTGTAGGTGCACACATACATCTTACACGTAAACTGTTTAGAGCACATCTTCTGAAAGGTGGAGATATGTTAACTCATTTAAACTTCATGAAAATAACTTTTCAAGAGCTCCATGAAAAGGAACTGATATTTTCAGAGCTGCATCAAGTTTACATCATTCTTTCCTCGTTGGATGAAAGTTATGATGATTATGTATCTTCACTGGAAGTCCTGCCCAGAGATAAACTGACATTGATTGAAATAACTGGAAGATTGTTAGAAGAAGCAAGAAGACGGCTGGATGGGGACCAACTGAGGAAGGAACAACCACAAGAAGAGGATTTATCTTCAACTGCCTATACTGTTAGGAAATGTTTTTCTTGTGGGACTAGGGGACATATAGCTAGATTCTGTAAGAAAGGAAAACAACAGAATATTGGCAAACACCAGAAGGCTAAGAAGAATGTTAGTTTAGCTATGTCTAGCAATTCAACTGTAAACCATGATTTGTGGGTTGTTGATAGTGGAGCATCACAGTGCATTACTAAAGATAGAAAAAGGTTTGTAAAGATGTCCACGAGTAAACAACATGTATCATTGGCAAATGGATGGAAGATTAAAGCATCAGGTAAAGGTACTGCATATTGTTCTTGTATAAACGAACATTTAACTATGTTATATGTACCTAAACTGAAATTTAATTTACTATCAGTAAGGGCTTTAGTTAATCTTGGTTATGTAGTAACCTTTAGGGGAGATAACTGTATAATAGAGAAAGAGGGTAAAAGTGTTACTGCTGCTTTAAAAAATGATTTATATGTAATACATGATGACCAGTTGAAGATGGCTAACTCAGTTTATAACAATGTTAAGCATTTACTGCATAGACGTCTAGGACACATTAATTTCAAAATGCTCAAACAAACTTGAATTGTCAGAGGGAGTAAAATTGAAACCCTGTAGCAAGTATTTACACTGTAATGCTTGTAGTCAAGAAAAGAGTAAGGTTACTCCTGCAAGCAGACTAAATGGGTTTAAGACCAAAGAACCTTTAGAGGTTGTTTTTGCTGACATAATTGGTCCTAAGAAACCAAGTTTAGGAGGTGCCTGCTATATTTTGAGTATTATGGACCATTACTCACGATATGGTTTCCGCTATCTTATGAAAAACAAAACAGAAACATTCCAACATTTCTTTAACTGGCTAAGGTTTGCTGAGAGAAAAATGAAAAGTAAAGTTATTTTACAAATGCTTAAAAATGGAAATAACTCATCTGGCCAATCCAAAGGCTGGATAAAATACAATTCTCAGCTTCATCAATTCCTGCCAGCCCTTCTTTGCCATTCAATTTTTTGTTATTCAACTGTAAAGTGAAGAATGAACCATTTTCTTGAGAAAAATAGATTGTACACAATCAAATGCATTTTAGATCTTTCAGTTCAGAATAATCATAGACACTAAACCAGTAAATTTGAATTTTTCTGATATATTACCTCTTTAACACTCAGAATAAGATTTATATAATAATCACACAGTTTATTTCCAGTTCAGTAATCCTTCTGGGAACTAATGTTATATGCCACAAATGCTATATACATATATATCTTCCAACCAAAATTCTCTCAAAAATTCTCTCCCACTTATGTAAGTGGGATGGATATTATACATGTTCAAATATTCCTTTTTGTCATCATTTCCATAATAGTTTTCATTATGCTGATAATCACCAATGGAATATAAGTCAGCATCAATATTTCCAAAATTAAAGTTATATATTATATTATGTAAAAAATGAGATGATAGTTCTAAACTTTAAAATTGATTAAAATAGATGCATTGCCTCTAGCAACACTTCAATAGTAATGGAAAGAAAACTACTGATTTAGGTAAGGGAAAGAAATAAGATTGTGACAACCTTTCCGCTATATATCACCCTATCCCAGTGAGACCGTGAAAATCCTGAACTGGTGCTTAGAGGATGTGAAGATTTGGATGGGGCAAATCAGAGACACTGTTTGTAAGTAAACATTTAAGCATTCCAATATTGGTGCTGATAGTAATTATCTTAGCGTTCACTCCAAAAGAGGTAGATCTTGATTATGAAGCACTCCAGAACTCTTACTTAAGCAAGAGACAGAAGCCATGGCTTTGACCCAGCTTTGGCTGGGTGTACCAATTATGTAAAAATGCAAGTGGAAAAATGCATGTAAAAAATGGGGACCACTTTGGTGGGAAGGTAACAGCGTTCCATGCGCCTTTGGCATTTAGTCATGCTGCCCACATGACCACGGAGATGTCTTCGGGCAGCGCTGGCTCTTCGGCTTTGTAACCAAGATGAGCACTGCCCCCTAGAGCCAGAAATGACTAGCACCTATGTGCGAGGGGAACCTTTACCAATTATGACTATCTAGTTATAAATATTCTTGTGACAGTAACTCATGTCTTGGTCATTACCTTATTTATGTAATCTGAAAGACTGCCCAATTTAAAAGGACCATGGGCAGCATATAATGTTCAAAACAGATTAAAAAAACAGCAATTAATCAAAAGAAAAATGGCACAGAAGATTTAGCATAACCCATTGAAGAAGAGGGTTATTTAGGGTTTTCTAAAACAAAGTCAGGGATTTCAATAAGAATTAAAAGTCATCTGCAAGGTGTTCAGGCCACAAGCCTTGTAGTGGCTTTCACTTGAACCTCTCCCTTGAAGCTTCATTTCAATAAGGATCTTTTTAAAAGCATACTGCTATTTTGAAAACAATCTCTTGAATTGTGGCAACATATATGTTATACAATAGGTAATTAATACATATTTTTATTTATTTGCCTTGAAATAATTTGATTCAGAGGAAACTAACTCTTCGTGATTATACAACATACTATTTCCACGCCAAGAACAATCAACTGATGGATTTGCAAGTTGCCTCCCTTGTGTGTTTTTTCCAACTCTACCAAAAAAAGTTTGCCAGATGATAGTGGGTATGTTCCCATTGATTTTCAGCAGAAAATGCATTGAAAGCTTAATGAAGGTGTAAAACACATCTACACTAAAGAAAAGCAGGGAGAGGAAATGAGACAAATTTCAGATCTTGGTCCCTAAACGTAATATTAAAGAATAACTGATTTCCACCTTTTTTCCAGCACAAAGGTAAATAGTAATAGAATGGAACCCTGAGCTACAGAAAGATTGCCTGCATCTCCTCTACACACCATGTTTTTCCACACTGAAATTAAAGTGTTGAACTCAGAAGAAGAAAAACCCAGAACATTAGCAGCTTTGCAACAACTATATTGCTTATCTTTTACCATTAATATTACAAATGCTATCCAGTGATATTTGCTAAAAATATCTACAAAAATGCTTAATACTTGTAAAGTTGATAAAAAGGGAAGTGGTAAACAGCCTGTTGAACTTTAGAGACTTGTAATGAAGCACTAGGACTGTAACTGGAAATTTTGGCCTCGGGTTTTGTTGATTATTCACTAACTAAACATGTTGAGCCACTGTGTGGTATTACTTGAACTAAAGGCTTACTGGTGGCAGATATTACTCTAATTACAAAGTCTCATTTTACTGTCTTCATATCACTTCTCTGTGGGGTTGATATAGCAGATAAGAAAAAAAAACCATTACATTTCAGGTTTGTTTATAAAGCAATCGAAGGAGACCAACTTGATTGAGGGAGAACATCTGGGCTATATATCCCCACGTATTTCAAACCACTGTACTGCCCAGAAATTAAGTTATTATGCCCAAGAAAAAGAAAATAACTGTTACATATAAAACTTATTTCTAGAGCAAATAAACATTTTGCTAATATCATCATTTTATATAATTTCCTACTTGGATGCAAAATGGTTTCCAATAACAATACTCTAAGGGTATGACTTGGGAAAATAACTTTGCACAGAGCAAAGTAAAACAAATAAAACAAAATAAAATAAATCATGCAAACCTAATTTTAACTACATTATTATAAAGCAATGGATTACTCTTTCGTGGGGGAATATGAAACATTTCAAATTCGAATCATCTTTAATTTTAAATTGGTAGCTAATTGGAAGACTGCGTCCAAGATTTCACTGAACAGAAATTAAATCTGTTGGGTACCCTGCATATGACTTTAAGACCCATTCTAAGAGAGTTCAGCTGTGATGTCTCACGTAAACAGACTTTGATTTACAATGTGTCAGTCCTCAAAGTAAGAAGCTAATGATGGGAAAAATGTTAGGAGAGCTTTTGCCACTAATTGTTTTTACTGGAAAAAAAAATCATAAGTGCAACTGTAAAAACCACTGCTCCACCTATTTTAAAAAGTAACCCTTAAATTAATTTCTTAATGGGAATGCAAAGTTAGCAATGTCTATTCTATGAAACCAGTTCTGAAGCTTCCGAATAATTTCTATCATAAGACACTGATAACTGAATGTTGCTCATATGATGCAGAGCAGATCTATCAGAACAATACAAAGCTTTTCATCTTGAAGAGATGCAAGGGAATCTTGTTCTAGGACAATGTTAAATATAATAAATTAAGATTTCTTTATTCTGTTTGACCAACCTGATGTAGGATTTTAAACTGGCCATATTTTAAATGAATATTAAAATACTTTAATTAACAAAAGAACAGTATAGAATTCATAGTTGATTTATGTTTGTTTTAGTTCTCTCAATACTACTTTGCATTATATGCTGAAGATTCATTACCATGTTGAAATAAACCAGTAGAACCAATTCATTTGTGCCTTAGCATTTCCTAATGTTATGATTGCCATGAATACATATCGGCAGAAGTAATGCAAATAAGCTTAAATATATATCTGAAAATATATACTCTTTAGACAGTTAATTTAGATCAATTCATCCAATGATAACATGAAGATAGTATGAAAAATATTAATTAGGAAAAAAGTGTAGCATCTCTTTGGGAACAATTTCCTGTACAGGAAACTATTACTAGCTGACAACACATTCATTTTCTTGCAAGCTTATTTCAGAGCAACAAATTAGATGTCAAATGGAATAATACAATTTCCTTTCTCTATACCTATAATTAATATTAGGATGGTCACAAATGAAGCACAGAATTTTTTGAAAGTTAACTTTACAGAGAACTATAGGAAAGTAAAATTAATAAAATAAATCACACAAACTTTATAATTTTAGCTATATTATTATTAAGTAATGGATTAACCAGAACAAAATCCTTCAGATTTAAAGCTTAAGAGGGTAGAGGTAATATTCAAAATACAACACAACAAAAACGGTATGTGCCTTTTAACAATTTTTAAGGAAGTGTACCATGCAGATTAGAAATTCTTCTGTTGCGGGAGTTTGTAAACCTATTCAAAAACTTTTAAGGTGTTTTGAAATCTGCAAGTGCCATGAGTTCTCAATATTACAGACTTCATTATGAAACACTACTTCTGTGTTGAAACTAAGGCCCTTAGCATATCAAACCAGCTACAAGTATTCCAAAGCTGTAATGCATGTTAACTTGATTCAAAGCACAAATACATACTGTATTAACTTTCAGATTTCTTTTGCATACCAAGTTCCCTGCAAATGAGGAGGACAAATTCATGAAACTACTTTAAAAAAATATAATCTCTATTGTTCTGGAAGCAAAAACTGTCTCATATCTTGCAATAGTTTACTTTTCTATCCACATAGAATAATAGAGTTGGAAGGGACCTCCAAGGCAGCGGTCACCAACCGGTGGGCCAGGGACCACTGGTGGTCCGCAAGAAAATTTTGGTGGTCAGCAGAGAAATGTCACCCCCAAAGCACCCCCCAAAGCAATTAATTCAGGCTGCACAGGTACACAAGGCTTCCGTCACTTGCATTGTGAACAACACGAGGTAGTGAGGGGAGGGGGGGAAGGGCAGAGGGGGAAACTTGCCCCACTCATCCCACATGCCTGGCCTGGCCACTGGGCTGCTTTTTTCCCGCTTCTTTCTTCTTCTGCTTTTGGCTGCACACAAGGAAAGCAGCAAAAGTCTTTCTTTTTCTCCCCCAAACTCTGCCAGAAATGAGTCTTTGGGACTCTGCAAGGCATCCTGCTCCAAGAGGCTGCACTGGCAAAGACTCATTTCTGGCAGAATTTGGGGGAGAGAAAGAAAGACTTCTGCTGCTTCTGCTGCTTCCCTTGCATAAAGCCAAAACTCTCTCTCTCTCTTTCCCCCTGAGAATGAAGCTGGAAACGGTATCCCAAATAAAGAATGATCGATTGAAAAACAGGGTGGGGAATTTTCCTGCAGACTTTTTTCCTGCAGCCACTGTCAGTCAAAATTCATATTAGTGGTCTGTGGGATTTAAAATTATGAGTTTGGTGGTCCCTGAGGTCCAAAAGGTTGGCAACCCCTGCTCCAAGGTATTACTCTATCCATCTACCTATTCTGTTGCCACTTTTTTGTAGCAGCCCATCCAAGTGAAAGCCTCAAATCTGCTGCTATGTTTGATGCAGTCCTTTGGCAGGGATCTTTTCCAGCATTGCTACTTGAAATCCTAAAACTGAAACCACCTAATACAAACGCAAGGAAAACCATTGTGCTAACCCTTGGCTTTTTAATCAGGTAGTATTGCCTATACAAAACAACTATAAGTAGCTATGTAATAACATAGACATTTCTGATATTTCAGAACAAAAATACTGCATTTATAGGAGTTGATACCCTGTAGCTATATATATTGCTTTACTTACCAGATGTTCCTCCAGCCACTCATGTATGCAAGCTACTGTAGCCCCTGGCACTTGGCGCCATAAAGCTTCTTTCTCTTGAGGATCCTTGAGCATTTCCAACGCTAGCTTCAAATCTTCCAAGAGGTGCAAAATTTGAAGTGAGCCAAAATACACTGATTGAGCGGGTGACACCATGTCATAGACACCATTTGTATATTCCGCAGCTGCCTTAGTACCTAAAAGGAAACAACAGAGTTAAAAGAGAGAGTTCAATAAAAAGCTGAAGAACCAGATTAAAGAAAACTGGTTATTTGTTTATATACTGGAAAATCCTTGTGCATTTTATGCATTAGAAAGTACTCTCCGATTCCTTGATGTAATGTATATTCTTCTTTTAAGTTCAACTGTATCTTACTATAAGCAAAAGTTCACATGCTTTTGCCACACACAAATATGTAGCTTTGGATCATTTTCCTAATAAATAAATCAACAAATATTATGCTTTTGACTCATTTGTTTAATTGACTTCTCTTTTTCTGGTTTTAGGATTTATGGGGAAACATGTTACATTTAGATCATATTTATGCAAAAATATTAAAAATTAAAAGAGTTCACATATTTTTAAGCACTCTATATACAGAAGAAACTTGCTAAAACAGCAAAGGTTTTCATTAATTGGCACATTTTAACTCTGAAATATATATATATTTGTTTTCGTAGATTTTCACGGGTACAGGTATG